TAAGTTAAGACTTTGAGGTTATTGGGATGTAATTTGCATTCGAGAAGGGAATGGGTGGGGGATGGGGCAGAATGTTATGGACTCAATGTTTGTGTCCCCTCCCAAATTTGGATGTTGAAATTCTAACCCCAATATGATGGTATTAGAGGATAGTGCCTTTGGGAGGTGGTTAGGTCTGGAGAGTTTAGCTCTCATGAATAGGATTCATGTCTTATAAGAGACCCCAGAGAATCTCTCACTTCTTCCCCATGTAAGGACACAGCAAGAATTAGGCCACCTATGAACCAGGAAGTGGGCCCTTACCAGACACTGAATCTGTCAGCACCTTCATCTTGGACTTTCCAGTCTCCGAAACTGTAAAAAATAAATGTCTATTGTTTAAGCCACCCAGTCTGTTTTGTTATAACAGCCTGAACAGACTAAGACCTTGGATAAATACTACTGAAAAATATTGCAAAAGGAAAGAGAGATACCAAAAGGAATCTTGATAAGTATTAGTAGATACAAATTTTTTAAAATTGGGGGTTATTTATGGTTAAAAAGTGATTGGGGTAAAAAAACTATAAATAATGTATAGTTTAATAATACTATATGACTGAATATTGAGGAAAATGAATAGAGAAGATAATTTAAAAAGGAGAAAGCGCAGAGTATAGAAAGGTGAAGAGTCTCTATAAGATTTTCTCTTACTTCAAATTTTAAATTTTTATATTTTTCTTAGTACCTCTGAAAGGAGGACTCACTTTAGTCCTAACCAGTAAATAAATGCCCATTTCCAGATTTAGCAATAGAGATTAGAAGCTTAAATACAACTTTTTTGTTTGTTTGCAGCTCAGTTATTTCAGTATGAGGAGAAGGAAAGAAATGCTGAAATGAAGAAGGAGGGAGAAAGAGGAGGGCAGGCTGGAGTCAAAAATAGAACAGTGGGCTTAGTACAGAGTATGCTCTCTGGTCCACAAGACTGACCCTACTGGGAGCAAGCAACCAATGTTTGGTTTCATTTGAGATATATATATATATATATTTATCCCAGCAATAGGAATTGATATTCTTAGAACTCATCAAAAAATATTTTGGCTGATTTTATTCTTAGTGTGAGGAAAGAATATACAATTGAGGAAAGAAAGAAATACATGAGCAAGTATGGTAATAATGTTTCGTGGAAGCTAAGGATAAAAAGCTGAAATGTCAAAGGAAAAACTTAGTTTCAGACATAAGAGTTTTGGCTTACTGCTTTAAGATAAGATTCAGATTTCTTATTTAAAACTTTGAAGGAGAAATGTTTTCATCTGTCTGAATGGTTCTGTGTCATATTTTAATAGAAAAATAATTACATTCTGAAATGCTTATAAAGTAAGGACCGAGTTTTTATGAAATCGTGGTGAGACATAAGTGTCTTGAATCTCAGAGAAGTTTTACCTTTTTTTGGTCCCAGATAATTGCCTCCTCATATAGACAATGTCATTGGAAATCTTGGGCACCATAGACTGAAAGTGTAGCTTCTGAAAAAGTGAGCACTAAACTGCCAATAATAAAAAGCATTGATTTTTTTTTTTTTTTTATTAAATTGAAAGGTGTTTTGTCCACTTTGTTTGACCATGGCTAGGAGAAGGTACAAAACAGTTTAGACTGATACCCAAATCAATAATTTCTGCACTAATTAATGGAGGTGTGCCAGAGAATTTAGCATACAGATCCCAGATCGCATTTCCTTGGGAAGGCTTCACAACTGATAGAGACCAAGTTTGGAAGAGAAGCTACATTTAGCGTCTTGTTGTGCCTTGCTCCACTTCCCTGCATCTAAATTACTCCAGACAAAAAGATGGTGCATCCCTGAGTTCGCTGGAACACCGTGTCCTTCCTACCAGTTCTCTTGCTGTGTTTAAGGCAGTTGAAATCAGCTTTGAGCTGTGTTGGGGTTAATGCAGAGCATGAAATCAGCCATAATACTGGCTTGCTAAAAGGTAACACAGAGGCCGCTGAGGGCAGGGAAGGTTTCGGAGAAGGGCATAGGCCTTTGGAATGCCGAGGCCCTCGTGACCACTCTGCCATTGGAATGCCACGGGGAGTTGCCTTCCCGAAGCCTTCTTAGCCTAAACTGCCGCCCTGTAATCTAAGAGATATGTGCATTGTCCCTTAGGCTATGTTAGGCAGAACTCCTAGAACATGCAGATTAGCATATCGTATCTTTCCCGTAAACAGATCCTCCTAGTTTCAGTAAGACCCCCTTGTCACACATCACGTGCTTGAGAAACGGTGATAAGGATTTGTGATTATCCTGAAGGGCCAATAAAAGCGGGAGCAAAGAAAAGCAAAGGGTCTTTGTCTCTGAGCATGACCCCCTTGCCTTCTCCTCTCTTTCATGGCCAAGTTTGGAGTCATCTTTCATCCATCGTACAGGGATTGGTGGCCATTCCAGGCAGAGCTGGTGGCTTAGGTTTGAAGAAAAGAGGTCTCTTCCTGCAGCTTGTTTAATAGCGTGGTGGAAGGTGAAGATTCGTTTGTATCATGAACATGGGTCAAATCAGTATTTTGAGAAGTCATTAAATTAATTGCATTATTGTTTTTTAATGTGCTTAGCAGTGCTGAATTAGACGCATTTTGATTTCTAAAAATGAAATAGCTAGGGTTATACTTTCTATCTTTCCTTCTTGAAATGGTAGTTGCTCAGAATATAGAGGGCCCTGTGGTGGTCTAAGAAAATAGGACTCCAACTTCACAATAAGAAATGCAACTGCAAACAAACCCCCTCAAGCAAGAGAACATCAAGAAAGTTCAAGGTAGGATGTTTTCCTAAGTCATACGACTCATAAAGCAAAAAAACTTGGGAAATGATCATAAGAATTCCTAGTTAGAAATGGCCCAGTTTTTTACTCTGCTCCAGCTTCTACCTGTTGGCAGATTATACGAAGTAGCCTCATTCTAGCTTACTCCAACTTCTCCTAATAGCATTACTTACTCGGTTTTCAGGTATCACTTTTCATTTTCAAATCACTTTTCCCACATTAACTAATTGCCATTACACGGGGTCATTTCGACAACACAAATGAGAACAGGGATCCATGGCAGTTCCTTCAATGCCCTTTTTTATGACTAAGTGGCAAAGAGTGGAAGCATGGAAAGTGAGCGTCTTAATGGACAGACATGATCAGATTGTCTTTTTTTCCCCTCAGAATATTATCTAAAAGTAATTTAAAAAATATTTTCCCTCTACCATTCTTCAAACTCACTGCAAGTATTAAAAATAAATCATTTATTTTATCAGTTCAGCCCATTCCCTTGCTTGATATTTTAAAAACTTTTTCATCATAACCTATCATTTCCTTTGCTGTCTTCCAGAAGTGAGGAACACATTTTTATTTATCAGATAATTTGATTTTAAGGAAATGGCTTTACCCTCACCTCTTCTTACTCAGGCATTCTCAGGAGCTCTGGCATTCCACAATCTAATCAGATACAAGTTATATCTTGGTCTAGAAATAAAGTGTGAATTGTTGAGCCTCCAATATGTAACACTACAGGCCCATAAATGTCACTTGGTAGCCTGCAGATTGAAATCTAAAAGCAGTACTTTGAATACCAGAGCAGAATGTACTTCTTTATATGTTTTTCTTTATAGCCTTGAAACTGAAGATGATAGTTGGATATAATGTGGGGAACACATGACAAAGCAATTTTCTGGGTGGGAATACTTTATTTTGATTGTACTATAATGATATTATGAAATTTCCATGGATTTGAAGATATAATTATAGTGTTGTTATACACTTTAGATCTTATAATATTGCTTCACTGAGTCAAGTTACAATACCCTCAGCATTTTCTGTAAACAAAGGGAATATTTTCAGTGAGGTTGCTTCCTATGAGAACAGTTTTCATCAGATTTTAGACCGTTGGTACTTCCTGTAAGGTAACAGCAGGGGAGTGGCGGTGCTCAGGGACCTTTATGGCCTGGAAATTGATTGCTCCCTAGTGAGACTCAGAGGACTCACCTTTATAGGATCGGATCACTTCTTAGGTTTTTTCTCCTTTCCTTCCCCTCTCTCTTTCTCTTTTGAAAGAAAGACAGATGAGGGGCGCCTGGGTGGCTCAGATGGTTAAGTGTCTGCCTTTGGCTCAGGTCATGGTCCCAGGGTCCTGGGATCGAGTCCCACATTGGGCTCCCTGCTCCTTGGGAGCCTGCTTCTCCCTCTGCCTCTCTCTCTCTCTGTCTCTCATGAATAAATAAATAAAATCTTTAAAAAAAAAAAAGAGAAAAAAAAGAAAGACAGATGAGAGAAAAGAAGGAGAGAAAACAAGGAGGAGATAAGAATATCCTTCCTAGACGGTAAGAGCTATTTGCCTTTTGGAACCAGTGAGTCTGATAGAAATGGAAAGATCCTCCTGATAAAAGACAGCAAGATCAGTTTCCTCGCTTGGGGATTGGAATTTTGCTCCCCAGTGTGTGGTGTTGGGTCATCCAGGATGTAGGAGCAGCCATTTTTGCCTGAGTCTGGCTGTGTTTGTGCCAGGCATTGACATCTGGCAATCCCACTCTAACATTCTAGACCAGTCATGGCTTAAATAAACCATGGTTTGGGCATGAGCTGGACCTCGGGGAGCAGCAGATGGCTGGTAAGCTCCTGTTTGCCTGCTTCACACCCAGGAGGAGGAACCCAGGAATCTGGCCAATTATTCATCTTAAATCTCCAGAATCCCATATGATTATTGTGACTCATGTTGTTTCCTGCCATGTGTTCCAACTGAAAAAAAGTTCAAGGTATCCTAAGATTGGGTAAAATGTCTGAATGCCGACTTAGCTGCAACTTCTCATTGTAAATTCTTTCATGGAGGGAGGAAGCATTCATTAGTGAGGTATTCCCCACACGTCAGGCTGTGTGATCATAATCTGGGCTTCACTTTTGACTTTAGGTATTAAAGCAGTTCTATTTTGCTCATGTTTTGTGAGAAACCAACTAAGATCCTTTTCTTTTCTTCTTCTTCTTCTTTTTTTTTATCAGTTACTTACAATGCATCTTTAGATGCTATCATTTCCAGTACAACCAGCAATACAAACACTGTGGTGCTGGCTTGGAGAGAGAAATCAAAAAAGCATCTTAAAATGACATCCTTCGATGTTGCTGAGGGCATTCATGCTTTTGATTACCACTCTCAGCTCAATTTAATTGGTATGTAAAATAAATCATGATAACTACGAGGGCCTCATAAATAGTCCGGGATGCATATTGGTATGCAGGGAGCCTCTCCACCTTGTTGCTTTACTGCCAGGGAGACCGACTTGAACAGCTCACATTTTATTGCCTGAGAATGTCTGATAATGACGCATTGTGACATGCGGCATGTAGGAACTACATTGGGGTAAAAATAGGAGGAAGCACCCCGATGCTTTCATTAGTGTTTTTATTAGAATCTGTGGGGGCGTAAGATGATACAGAGGAAGAAGACCGTTTTTGTGCCATGTCTGCTCTTTCTGCCCTCCCTCCACCTGCTGCTGGCGCGGCTACAGCACGCATGTGCGCGGGACAGCGGCAAAATGCTGCACGTTTTTCCCCTGTCAGAATGCAACCTCCAGTGCTTTTTGAACATTTTCAGATTATCTGAATTTTAGTTTAAAATGAGAGGTCCTTTTTTGGACATAAAAGAGGATGTTAGTTGGAGAAATAAGCTGAAAGGTTTCAAGCGTTAACTATTTAAATAAAATATATGACATTTTGAAAGCTGATAATTTGATATATAATATCTATAAATATGTATATATATTGAAACATTGTAAAAAAAGTGAGGTATTAAAAATTAATAGGGTAGTGACAGAGAATGAACATACAAATGGCCTTTGGAATGGGTCATATTAATATAAGCCTCATTCGATAATTATCATTCATAGAAAAGTACTGGTATCAGCTAGGAGGCTGAGTCTCTGAAATCCCTAATGATCATGGCTGACAGTCATGGTAACAGACACCTTGAATATGAACTCAGGAAAATGCCAGGAACTACCTTTCGAAGAGAATTGGAGACCTATTAGAGAAGGCTGGGTTAGCCAAGCGAGTTCGAAAGGACTTCAATATCAACCATTTCATTGACTCATTAATAATTATTTCAGCCCCTTTACACTGATCACTTCTTTGTACTTGGCATAGTGCTGGAAAAATAAGAGTGACCAAGCTCTCAGCACTACAGTCAGCCGTCAACAAGAGAAAACCAAAGAGCGCTCTACTGAGTTTCCCCAGACCTGAAGACCCACTGTAACCCCCGCTCTTGATGTGCTCCCTCAATGAAACCAATTCATGCTTAAAAATATCTTATTCTCTCAATAGAGCAGGTCAAAGGTATAATTCTGCTGTTGGTGTGCTTGTAAATACTCAATTATTTATAGGGCAGTGGAAATAATTTGTTTCCATATACTTTCTCATTAATTTGGGAACTTTAAATATTGTTTTAGTTTTTGCTCCCTCCTGGGATAACTATAATGTGGTCTCCACTCCTAGGTTGTGCTAGCTGGAGGGGGAAAACATCAGAACTGGGAAGTGGGATGCCGTGCCCTCCTGGTTGGGCCGCTGGTTTCCTCCTAAGTGGGACTGTATTGTCCTGTCACCTCATGCTCACTCCTTCCCCATTCTCCCTCCAGTCAACCATTTCCAGTGATAGAACTCGTGCCCCATTAGCCTGACAACATGATCTTCCTTCCTTCAAGGCAGGGTGCATTAGTGCTCAGAGGCATTTAGCAACCCCCAGATATGGGACATATATTCATTTCAAAAAGGAAATTGTATGGGTTGTTCACGTTACTAAAACCACTTTTTTCCCCTTCTAATTCTGATTAGCAACTGCTGGCATCAACAATAAAGTTTGCCTTTGGAACCCCTATGTTGTCTCCAAGCCAGCTGGTGTCCTTTGGGGTCACTCAGCCAGTGTAATAGCTGTTCAGTTCTTTACTGCAAGAAAACAGCTTTTCAGCTTCTCCAAAGATAAAGTAAGTAACATTGTACATTTAATTTGTTTAGTTCTGCCTCCTCAGTTCCTACCTAAATCTGTCTGTGGGCCTGAATTCCTCTGAGGGCTGGTGTGGATTTTTAAAATACACTGGCTAACTACTATGGCTTTGGAAATCTAAATTTGGAAAAGATATTTATGGTAATTTAAGCATAGTCCTGGGTAACTGAACAAAGTATTTCATTAAAAAACTTTTAAACCATATACTCATGGATTTAATCCTTTTAACTGCATTCTTAAAATGTTACATCTTGAGTTTCCAAAGTTCTCACTAATTCAATAGAAAAAACAAATGGAGATGAGGAAATGTTGCTTGGTAATGGTAAGATATGAAGAGGCACAGCTAATTAGCTATTGTTGTTTTGATATTGAGGAAACTCAGTAAGTTAGACATCAAAGTTAATCTGAAGACTATCAAGTATATTAAGGACATTTCAGGGGCTCCTGGGTGGCTTAGTCAGTTAAGCGTCTGCCTTTGGCTCAGGTTGTGATCCCAGGGTCCTGGGATCAAGTCCTACACTGGGTTCCCTGCTCACTGGGGAGCCTGCTTCTCCCTCTCCTGCTTCCCGTGCTTGTGCTTGCTCGCTCTCTGTCAAATAAATAAATAAATAAATAAAATCTTAAAAAAAAAACATTTCAATTATGTATATCAGTCCATTTTTCTTTGGAGATATTTATGGGATGTTTTAAATATGGTGGGAAGAAAAACATGGTACCAGAACCAGACAGTCCAGGTCAAATCCTGACCACATTATTATTTACTACCCATATCCCCTTAGGAAAATTTCTTTTTTTTTTTTTTAAGATTTTATTTATTTATTTGAGAGAGAGAGTGAGAGAGAGAAAGAGCACAAGAGGGGGGAGCGGGGGAGGGAGAAGCAGACTCCCTGCTGAGCAGGGAGCCCGATGCGGGACTCGATCCCGGGACTCCAGGATCATGACCCGAGCCGAAGGCAGTCGCTTAACCAACTGAGCCACCCAGGCGCCCCGGAAAATTTCTTAAACTCTAATAATCGTGTCACTTGTTTCTCTGTAAAACTTCCATTTTCCATAATGCCTGATTTTATAGATCCAGGTAATGTGATAGATTTCAAGATGTTTGGTTGTGAAGAGAAGAAGGATGGGCAATAGGCTTACTGAGTACAGCCTCTGAGCCTTTCAGTGAATCTGAATTTTTATTTTATTCTAAAGCAATACATGTATATGTAAAAATTAAATAGAAACTTATCTTCAGCTCCTTAGCCACACCCCATCCATAAGTTCTGCCAAACTTGCTTATTTTACTGTACTACCTATTGTGTAAATCTTCTCCCAATTCTGGTTGATTCTACCATCAAAATATATTTATCGGCCTCACCTCTCCCTCTCAGTTCCCCCTGCTCTAATTCAAAATCTCATCTTCTTTTGCCCAAGATTTTGCAAAGGTTTTCTAACCAGTCTCCCTACTTTCAGACCCGTCTGACTCTAATCTGCCCCTTATCCTGCTAATGAGGTGGTTTGTAAAAAAAAAACTTGTTTAGCACTTCATGGAATTCTGAGTCTAAATACGAACTCCAGAATTCTTAAGCTTTTGTACAAAGCCCTCCCCCAGCCTGTTACCCTATTTTATTTCCTGCTTTTCTCTTTCGTTCACTTAATGCTCCAGCCATATCACACCTTTGGCTCTTCCCGCCATGCTGCCTTATGGCTCTGCAGCGTGCTCTTCCTTCTGCCTTTGGTTCCCTTTCCTGATGATCACTTGGCAAATGCCTGTTTATCCTCAAAGTTTCAGAGTTTTTGGAGTCACAGAGGGTGTTTCCTGTACTCCAGTTGTACCTGTTTGTAGATTCTCAGTAAATCTTACATGAATCTTTATCAAACATAAATATGAAAGAAATAACAGGGCTTTTATTATAACAGAATTCCATGAAAGTGTTGACTGAAAAAAAAAAAGCCAATCTTAAAGTAGGTTAGTAAATACCTTATTCATCTTACTGAAGACTATAGCCTGGGAGACAGTATTTCACATTGTTCTGAAGAACTGCTCCAAAGTTTTAAGTTTACAGGGGATTATATGTGAAAAGGGGAAGGGGCATATGTACTTACAAGCAGTTCTCCAAGGTATAATTTTGTGTCACAAGGTATAATTTGTTTGGGTGTAAAAACTAAGGTTTACGGATTTCCACATATACTTGTGAAAGACCGCTTAGGTCATCTTAATACATTATGTTTCTATCATATCTGACTGTTCAAAAATATTGCCAGCATGCTTCTGCTTACCTGGTTTTCTGGTTGTTCCTGTTTTGGGTTTCTCCTTGAGATCACTTGAGATGGTCAGAGAAGGCTGACATCAGTTACTCACTGATGTTTTAGTGCACGAAATGTTTTATCACTTTAAAAGCAAGTGAAAAAAAAAAGTCCTTAGAGTCAGAATGGATTGTGTATAGCTATCCTCAGTATTAAGACTACCTAGCCTCGGGCGCCTGGGTGGCTCAGTTGGTTGGGCGACTGCCTTCGGCTCAGGTCATGGTCCTGGAGTCCCTGGATCAAGTCCCGCATCGGGCTCCCTG